AAAAAAAAAAAAAAAAAAAAAAGATTTAAGAACAAAGTATGTCTTTTACTGGTGTATTTTCTTCCCAGCTTCCAATTCTACCAGCTGTAGTTAACCACTTTTGAAATTCTATTGTTTCATTAAATTTGTTGAAAGATTAGGAATTAGCAAAGTATTCTCTCTTGACTATGTTTAGTTATCCTTGTTACCTCTATAATTTAAGTAATATACCTTTAGGTTTGAAAAAAATAGCATAAAATTTACTGTTATTTGTCTTTGAGTGTGCAGTTTAGCAGTATTAAGCATATTCATATTGTACAACAGTCTCTGGAACTTTTCCCCTTTTACACGACTGAAATTGTATCTATTAAAAGAACTACTCCCCATTTAACCCTCTTCCTAGCCCAAGGCAATCATTCTACTTTCTGTTTCAATGAATTTGACTGCACTAGATAGATGTTATCAGTGGGATCGTACAGTATTCGTCATGTGTGTGGGTGATTGGCTTGTTTAATTAGAATGATGTCCTCATCCATGTGATGGTGTGTTTCAGAATTGCCTTTCTTTTTGAGGTTGACCATTGTATGTACAATACCACTTTTTATTTGTCTGTTCATCTATGGGTGGACACTTGAGTTGCTTCCACCTCTTGACTGTTGTAATTCTGCTCTGAACGTGGGAGTGCAAATCTTTTGAGATCCTTTCAATTCCTTCCATGTCAAAATTATGTTTTTAATTATTTGAGGAGCTTGCATACTGTTTTTTATAGCTGTTAAACCATTTTACATTCCTATCAACAGAGTACAAAAGTTCCTGTATTTTAACATCCTTGACAGCACTTACTCTGTTTTTTTATAGTAGTCATTCTAGTAGATATAAAGTGATACAGTGATTTTTGATTTACATTTTCCTGATGGTTGGTGATATTGAGCATAATTTCATATGCTCATTGGCCATTTTTATATGTTTGGAGAAATTCTGTTGAAGTCAACTGTTGCTTATTTTCTAATTGAGTTGTGTTCTCTTCTTTCTTGCTTTTATTTATTTATTTATTTGATAGCAGGGATCGAACTCGAGTCCTTGTGCTTGTGAGACAGGCGGCAGAACCACTGAGCTAAATCCCCAGCTCTTGCTTTTATTTTTAAATTATTAGTTTTAGGCATTATATTGACTTTATCCTAGGAAAGAGACATTTTGAAATGACATTTAATTTCTCCACATCTTGATTTTTCTTAGTGATGTTTGCATTGTGAAGGTTTTTAGTTCCTTCTTGCCTTCCCTCCCTCTCTGCCTTCCTCTCTTCCTTTCTGGGATTGAACCCAAGGCACTGACCTACAGCCTTAGCTCCCCCACTCACCTTTTGGTACTGGGGATCAAACTTGGGTCCTCACGTTTGTGAGGCAGACACCAGAACCACTGAGCTAAATCCCTGACTCCTTAGCCCTTTTTTAAAAGAATTGTTTTGCTGGGTGTGTTGGCATACTCTGTAATCCCAGCACTCCGGAGGCTGAGGTCGGAGAATTGCTGCAAGTTGGAGGCCAGCCTGGGCTACATAGTGAGTTGAAGATCAGCCTGAACTACATAGTGAGACCCTGTCTCCAAATAAAAAAAGTTTCTTTTTATTTGGAGACAGGGTCTCAGTGAGTTGTCCAGGTGGAGATTAAACTTTTTATTTTCCTGCCTCAGCCTCCTAGAGTGTATTCTTTTCTTTACATTATAAATACTTTAATAATACCTATAATGAGCATTTTAATAATTGTTCTGCACTTGAAACGCCAAGTAATAGGATCAAATGCTTAGAAAAGAAAACTAATCTTATGTCAATAAAACTTTCCTCTCTTAAATGTGCATCTCATCTTTGCTATTTGTGGCTGGCATATTGTCTTTTCTTTTCTTTTTTTGAGATAAGGTCTCACTATGGTGTTCTGGCTGGCCTTGAACGCACTGTAGCCTGGACTTGGGGCACTCCTCCTGCCTTGTCCTCCCAAGTGCTGGGCTTACAGGTGTGTGCCACCATGCCCAGCTTGGTACACTGCCTTGATCATATTTATCCCATCTGTTTACAGTCATCTGGAATTTTTTCATACTTTCTGGCCTACTTCTGGTGCTTTTTTTTTTAACTAAGAATTTTATAATCTTTCATTTTAGTTTTCTGTCATACCATTGGACTCTTAGGAAGGGATACAGATGTGTTTACTTCTACCATATTAAAATACAAGTGTCTGTGAGTTGCTTTTAGAAGAGAATTATTTTGTATCTGTAATGAGGTTTTACTTCTATTTAAAGTACTATGTGAAAATATAATTTAAAAATTATTAAATCCTATATACTAGGCACTCTTGTAAGTATTTAAAATATTCATTCATTAAATCCTTGTAACATCATTTTAGTTATTATTGTCCCCATTTTATACATGAGAAAATGAAGGCACAGAGAAGGTAAGTAACTCAGCTCAGGCCACAGCTAGCTGATGATCCACAGCTTGTATTCAAACCTATCCTAGTTTACCAGATCCTAAGGTTTTAGCTACCTCTTGTGTGCCATATACAGTTTCTGGAGTACTTTATTTCCTTTTTCTTTACTTAGAGTCCATCCTGGTACATTTCTCTTTGCTCAGCATGTATTAATTGAACATTCACTGTGGGCCAGACCCTGCCTCAGGTGTTGGTGACACAGCAGTGAGGAAAACCAAGTGCCTGCTCTCATGGATATTGTGTGTAGTCAGGGAGAAAATAGTGTAAAACTGTAACTTATAAATGTTGGCAATGTCTATGCTTTTAAGAACAAGAAAACTAACTAGTTTCATGTGATCCGGTAATTTAATCTCTAAAACAAGGATTATATTTTTTCACTAGTCAGTCTCTTAACAGTGAAACTGACCGTGTCCATTATGTTTTTGCTGAAAAATATCATACAATAATGATCATGCTGCTATGGCCTGAATGTTTGTGTCCCCTCAAGGCTTGTCGAAACCTAATCCACAGGTAATAGTGGTAGAAGGTGGGCCTTTGTGAGGTGATTGTGCCCTCATGAATGGGATTAGCACCTTGTGAAGGAGACCCCTGAGAGGAAGTCAGCCCCTTCTCCACAGGAGGACACAACTAGAAGACCATTCTGTGAAGCAGAAATCAAACCCTCGCTTGACACTGAATGTGTCAGTAATTCGGTCTTGGACTTCTCTGTCTCCAGAACTGAGAAATAAACTTCTCTGTTTCATAAACTGTGGTATTTTATTGCAGCAAGCTGAAACAGCTAAGGCACAGGCATTGTATGATTTCTGCTATGCAAAGTGGTATCTCAGGAGATGAACTTGCAGGAAGTTTATTCAGGAGTGATCTTGGGAGTGGTAGCTATGGGAGAGAGGAAAGGAAAGAAGCTTTCTTAGTCTCCTTGAGCTGCTGTAATAAAGTACCATAGATGGGGAATTTATAAAGAACAATTTATTTCTCATGTTTCAGAGGTTATAAATCCAAGATCAAGGTTCCTGATGAGGGATCTTGATTTCTTTTTCCAGGGTGGTATCTTGCTGCTACATCCTCCAGAAGAAATGAAGGCTTGGTCCTTAACTGGTGGAAGGGATGGAAAGACAAAAAGGAGCCCTGGTTTTTATTAGTTCCCTGCCTTTTATTAAAGCACTAATACATTCATGAGGGCCAAGGCACTCATGACTTAGTCACTTCCTGAAAGGCCTGACTTCTTATTACATCATAGTGAGAATTAAGATTCAACATGAATTTTTCAGGACACACATTCAAGCCATTGCACAGCTTAGGCAAAACAAACAAACAAACACAAAAACAAACAAACAAAAAACAAAGCTGTCCTGAAGTCTCCACAGAAATCTTAGTTGATCTTCCAGGAAGTTCTGTGGATGGGATGACATGCAGGAGGTTTCCGGAGTTTGCAACTTTCCTGAGTTGCACCTAGGGCCTTTGTACTTCTGCATCCCATCAGTCACTGGGTGTTGCCCGGGGTAGGGGATGTTACCGTAGGGTGGAGTCAAACTTCTGAAATGGGTGCTAAGTGAAGACTGTGGATAGCAGCACTCTGAGTGTGGAGATAATAAACACTCCATTTTGCTGATAGGGATTCTAGGGGTGGCAGAAGCCAGGGGAAAGGCCAGAGCACAGCATCCACCACAAAGGTCCTTAGTTTGGACTTGAATTTCTATTTCCTACTGTGAAACTGTGGTAAGTATTCCTTAGTACTTTGCCTTTTAAGTCTGTAAAGTGAGATTTAGTGTGTCTAGTTTGACAGCTGTTGTAAAGGTTAAATGAGATAAGGCTGTCTGAACACCTGGAATATAAGAAGTATTCTATAAATTTTTGTAGGAAAAGAACATAAATACAGTAGTAGTTTTTTCTCATGAAAAGTGCATCTGCTCACACACCCAAAAAAAGGTGCATCTGCAAAAACAGATGTCTCAGCTGGGTGTGGTAGTGCACACCTGTAGACCCTGCACTTCAGCCTGAACTATATAGTGAGGCACTCTCTCCAAAAAAAGTATCTCATATAAAGTATTTTTTTTATTTAGCCAAATGATATATGAATCTCTATTGTTTTAGTAGTTACATGAATAAATGTAAAAGTCCAGGAATTTTTACCTTCTAGTTCTTTATAATTTAGTTAAGGCTATGTTATCAGTATATGATTGTTAAATAACAAAAGATAGAACATCAGATACACGTTGAACAGGTTTAGAATTACAAACCATAGGGCTTGTGTGGTTGAAAAGTTTAGTTGAAACTCATTGCAAAGTAGTTTTTCTGGTTCTCCTCTGTATTCTGAGGGACTGCCAGGATTGAACTTGTGTAATCAAGATGTTAATGTGTGGGCTTGTAAGCAAACCAGCTGCCTTTAGTAGAGTATGTTGGGGTTGTAGGGTCAAAGTTGAAAGTAGAAGTTAGAATTAGATTATCAAGATTCTTAAATACTACCCAGAGTTAAAATTACAGATTTAATAGTTCTCTATGTACAGATAGTTTAAACATTGACTATGAACTAAGTTTGAGAGTGAGAATGAATAAATGAATGTGAGATAAGTTATAAAGAATGTCTTCTTCCAGGCATAGAGGTGCATGCCATAATGTCAGCTGTCTAGGAGGCTGATGCAGGAGGATCGTGAATGCAGAGCCAGCTTGGGCAATCTAGTGAGCCCCTATGTCAAAATAAAATATAGATAAAATTGGGAATATAGCTTAGTGGTTGATTACTTACCTAGCATGAGGCTCTGGATTCAATCCCTAATGCCACACACACACACATGCACACACACTCTCTCACAGAAAAAAAAAGAAAGCATGCCTTGTGATTGAAGACAAAAGGTGGCATATATGTTCAAAATAGCAGGCTGCGGGCCAGGGCAGCAAGACTGCAGCTGTAATTTTTTTGCAGATGACTAAAGTTTTTAACTCCTCATTTACTATTTGGTATTCCAGCTAAAGTTCATAATTCTAACAGTGTTGATTTCTTTTTTTCCAAAAAATTAAAAATTATTGTTTTAATTTTTATTATTACATGTCTGCAGTACATAATGATTACATTCATTGAGGGGAATTGGTACATGTATATAACACATCTTAACTCCTTTTTTCCCCTTCCCTTCTACCGCCCTTTCTATTTTGCCAGAGTCAGATTTATATATTTATTTTATAAGTCCTTATAAAGTAAATTATCATACATACAGATTAACAGGTTAACATGCCAAAAAACATAAAATACATAAGACATTTACACTGAAACAAGGTACATTTTTAGATACATTTGTCCATGCTGAATGGCAATAACTTTTCTTCTCTTTTTTGCATGTTGTCTGTCTTTTATTTTGTACTTTATGTATTGAATTTTATATATACATATATATATACATATATATATATACATATATATGTATATATGTATATATAAAAATAATATATTAAACTATATTAATACATAATATATAACATATAAAACTATATTATATAATATATAATATATAAAACTTATGTGTGTGTGTGTATATATATATATATATATAT